AAAGCCCAGGCAACCCAAACCAAACAGAACGGAAATACAAAACGGACCAGACAAGAGTTCCTCAAGACTGTTATGAACGGTTGTGTCCTGCAAAAGGTCCCTCCCAATTTCTCACTTATATACTCTCTTGGGAGGGGCGAAGCCATAGCCACCTGGGCTTGATTATCTCTTATGAGGCTGCCTCCGCAGCTGCAGCTTCCGTTTCTCCGCCCTCCTTTGCCTGGCACTGCCTTGAGTCCTCCCCACTGCTCCAAGCCTCAGGCACCTCATGGTGGCCAACCAGCCTCTCTGGTCCCTACTCTGAGTCTGAACCCTGCCCAGGGTCCTCCACATCTTCCATAGCAGACTCATAGGGTTTCTTGCTATCCGAGTCCATCAGCAGCTCAAACGGAGCCTGCTGGGCCACAACAGCTATATATAAATTGTACTGAGGTGAGTTACTACTGCTTCCTGGCAGGGATTTTGTGTACTTGCCTGTCGTGGGAAGCAAGTACTTTTGAGTACTCTTAATGAACTTTTGAAAACATAGAACTCCTAAGAGAATAAAATGACAGCAGAAGAAAAGCAGAAAGTTAAAGTATGGAGATTGTGGACCTTAGATTATAAATAATGTCCTACAAAGATACTAAGCCACTTTTGAGTTCTTATGCATGGAAATAACAAAAAAGAAAATACTTTTTTCTATTGGGGTATATTATGCAAACTTCATAAAATAAATTCTTTGTTTCATATAATTTGATTATCTAGAGGGGGGGTTGCTTCTTACACCATCCTTGATTCTCTCTTTAAAAGCCAACAGCATGAAATGGTCTTGTCAGCGTATAAACCTGGAGGGCAATTAAGGCATTAAAGCAAAAGTCTTTTGAAAACTATACAGATAATGTCAGAAGATCAGCAAAAGCATTTTCAAATAAAAAAATCCAAGCTCTCGGCCAAGTTCCTGCAAATACAAGCTAAAAGAAGAAACAGTTTTACTCCCTTTTAATTTACATTGTCCTAATTACCATGTTCCAGAACATTAGTTTGAATTTTACTGGGTCTCTTCCAAATTGTTTAACAGTTTTTTAAAGGCTACAATCAGAGGACATTGCTCATGTGCATATTGAGCAAGATTTCAACATTTTTTTAATCCTCTGTGTTGCTTAAATTTTTCAAGAGTGTACTAGCTATTTTTTAAAAAAGAAATGTGTGATCACTCATATATTTAAAAGCACAACGATAAAAAAATCAGTCCTAAACTGCTTACCTATCAAATGCTTATAAATAGTTTAATTGTATATTCATTAGAAGCATGTTTTACATACATGTTCAGAATATTCTTCTTCATATGAAAGCAACACTCTAACTGTGTATCTTGATCTCGCCTACAGAATAATAGAGAACCAAAAATGTTTGCCATAATACTGTAATTGAAGTATGAAAAAGGAACTATTCTTAAAAAAAACCTCTTCATGAGCATAATGATTTAGATATCTAACAGTGACAGTTTGAAATGGCCTGCTTATTTTTCTTTACTGTAGTTGCCCATCACAAAGAATGTGTAAATGTCACTGCAACACTGGTGAGTTAAAGCACGGCATGCAACTCTATGTTCAAAACAGGAATGTTTTGATATACAACTCTGGCACTGAAAGTAAGTCATCGAAGGGTAGGATACAATCATCCTTTTCTATTAAATCACTTCTTTTCTATCTAAGGTAGAAAAACCGTAGCCCTTAATGTATAAAACACTGGTTTGCACTTCCTTTTGCAAAAGGAAACACAATGATTTTGTCATAATGCCATAATATTTCAGAGGGTTTTTAATACTAGGATTTTTTTTTAAATAATTAATTTTTGTTTTCAGAATGTTAATGATAAATACCAATGGCAAAATAACTGCAACAAAGGAGCCAAAAATATATGTATTTGTACAATTCTAGGTCATGAAGGTGCTTGGTGCTCTCTGAGGCTTGGCTGTTTTCTTGCAGGTATTTAAATTCTAAGTTATCTTTTGTATGAGAAGAGTGACTAATTTAGTCTTCCCCAAGTTTAGTGCTTTTTCAACACGTTGGACTACAATCCCCATCATTTCAAGCAGCGTAGTTCAGGAGTAGGTTCCGGCAGTCACTACTGCTGGTTCACTCGTGGGCACATGGTTCACTGCGCGCACATGCACAGAGCAATAAAAATCGCAGAAGCAAAAAACAAGGTGGCACCGCCTATGGCGCTGCCAGGAGAATTGCATTTTGGCAGATATGTCTTATAATATTTTTAAGCAAAAGCACTTATATGTATAAAACATATCTACTATTTATGAAGAAAATGAAGGGTTGGGTGGGTGTATTTCTATTCTATACGTTCAACTCAAGTATTCAAAGAGATAATCCTGTACTTCATTAACATTTTTGTTAAAGAAATCTGCAAGTAGAGGCTTGCTGTCCTGGCAGCAACCTATCAAGGTTTTATTGCACATTCAGCCATGTCAAAAGCTGAGTCCTTAAAATAGGCACTGGCACACAGTTGCACCCTTGATCTAAAGCCAAACATGGTAGAAAATTTATTAGAACCATTAGAACAGATTCTAAAAGTCACGGCATGTTGTTGATAGTCATTTCAAAGCTTTTGTATACTTTGAAAAATATATCTACAGTTAACTGATGTTGTTAATGCTATAATAAGTTGAATCATATTAAAAGAAGAAAAATAATGAAAAAAAGAAGAGCACTCTTTATATGTTCCCCTTTAAAATATTATGCCATAAACTTTTGGGATTCGAGTATGTTTATAAGATGCATGAAGCATTATTCTTTACTACTACACATTGCATACACGTAAGCAAATGAGAAAGAACTATAAACAATGAGTATAAAAAGAGTATAAAAAAATCATGAAGTATTTAAAAGTATAAGTTGTGATAACCAAAAGTAACCTTAAAAGTATGTAAAATGGCCTTAGGAAACAATACAACGTAAGTAATTGGCAATAAACAGTACAATTCTGCTATCAATCAGTTAATTAATATAGTAGGGCAAAAAATCAATATCTAAAGTCAGATCTATATGACTTAATAAAATATTCAGATAAATTATAATACATGATTTCTTTCTATGGAGCTTTTTTTAAGAATATAGTATTTTTTTTAGGTCAGCAGAAGAATGTCCCAGGAGACCTAAATGTTTTCCCACCATTTTCTAAATGCTTCCTTCTCTTATGCATGTAGGTCTTCATCCAGAATCAACAATAAATCAGTTTATTATTCTTAAAACAAGTTTAATTAAGATTTGGGCTTGTGTTTCCTACATTTCCTTTCTATCTTGAGAAGAAAACTATTCCTCCTATTTGGGATAATCACCATTTAGATTTCTAGGAAGGTTATTACTATCAGTGGTTTAGTGAGAAAAACCAATTTCAAACCTTAGTTTATGAAGCTGTCATGATTCAATAAAGTTTAACTGAGATTAATCTTACTCTAAATGTGGTCTGTGGTAAAAGTTTAAAGTAGAAGATTCAGATCTCTCCTCACTGCTAAGAAAGAGGAAAAGGTAATAAGATATGCATAAATGCTGGCTTTGACACTTATCTCAGATATTGATTTATTTATTTAAGTAATTTGTATGGCTGCCTGATCCTAAACAGCTCACAAGCAATAGAAGTATGGTAATAAAAAAAGAACAAAATCTTCCCACTATGTGTCAGACTATTATACCTATACTATTAAATATCTGACTCAATTTGACTGTGCATATGGCTATTCTTGTTTGTATAAACTACTATTTATCTAGTTTAAAGTTGATAAGATTTATATTAATGTGCATTTTAATAATTCTTTAACTGTATTGTATGGTTATCTAATACAATTAAATCTACATTAAAATTTATATTAATATAAAGAAGAAATCTGCATATTTCTCAGAATCTTGACCAAGATGGGTAAGAGATGTCATACATTGTCATATTCATTATACTGTATGGAATTGTGTAAGCTTCTTAGCACTATGTGGTAGACGTAGGATTTAAACCCTATATGAGACAGGTAGCCATATAAATAGAGAAATATCAGTTTTCAACAGCCTTTCCCAACCTGGGACTCTCAGTGTGTTGATATTGAAATCATTATCCTATAAAGTAGTTGGGAAATATAGGAAGTTGAAACCTCAACAAATTTGGGAAAAAATTAAGGAAGGAAAGTTTGATGTATGGAGCGCCACAAAAGAAATTCCAAATAAGGAAAGGGCATTTGCCAAGGTACAGGGATAGACAAGCAAGCCATCTGAACCATACAACAGAGGAGGAAGATAATTCCATTATCTGCAGATAACTGGGCAAATTATGAATTTGTGGAAGCCATAAGCATGAATATGTTTGCGCTTCTATAAAAGACAAATAGCAGCCATTTTACTGTATAGGCCATACAACGAAATGAACTTGTTCCACATTTCAACACTCATGTTTCTGTCACATTTGCAAATCAAAGCAACTTTCTTCTAATCCTCAATAAGAACATTTCTTCAACACTTTATCTTCTTTTGATATGTCAACTTCAACCAAATAAACAAAATTTTCTGACATAAACAAGTTTATTCTTTTGTAAGTTTTGTCATACTTTTTTTAAGTATTCAAGTTTCTTATTATTTATTTATTTGCTCTTCATCTTGCTGGGAGGCTACTGTATAGAATACCAAAGAAAAGAAATGTCAGCATTTCATACTATTAGAAGGATAGAAGGAAAGTACCTGGGCAATAACTCTGGTTAGATATGCTCCAATGAACATTAGTCATTTAGAGAGAAATGTGTTTATTTCTTGATTACAATATTGTATTAATAAAGTTTAAAAATTGCAATAATTACAGTTAAAAATTGCATGGATGACCTCATGTGCTTTGCAGTGGAGGAAAAATTAAAAAACCAAATTAAAGTAAAACAAAACCAAAAAAACCAACATTTAATCAGGAATAATTTTAATCCTTACCTCAATTATTCTTTTTTAGGGTTAAGGTTTTTCTTTTATGAGTAGAAATCAAATGTTTCTTGTCTCAGGTGAAACCTACCATTTTCCAACTAAATCTAAATTCGCAAAAGAAATGGGTAGTCCTAGAGTTATGATTGTAATTGAGGCAGAAATTATGATTGTAAGTAGTGATAATCATAAAACAGGTAACCACATGACTGGATCCTATTTTATGAACTTTTCTGAGGTGGTTGCTAAGTGAACATAGTGATAGTAAATGATGTGCTCTTTAAGTGAATACTGTAGTTGTTAAGCAAACTCATTGTTTCTAATGGGGTAGTTTTTGCTGGAAATTAGGAGTAAATGGTGGAAACCTGAAGTAAGTTTAGTGTCCCATCATCATGGTCATGTGACAATAGGGTGCTGCAAATGGCCATAAATGAGGATAGTTGGCGAGCACCAAAATGTGGTCATGTGGCTAAGGGGAGGGGTTTTGTCAGAACTTCAGAACTCGGTCATAGGTAGATTTTGGGGAGAGTCCATCATAACTTTGAATGGTCGTTAAAGGACTTACCAGTTGTAAGTCAAGGACTGCCTATATATGCACATGAGGAAGAAATCAAGTACAACAAATAAACCACAGAGACTCTATACTGAATTGGAAAGCCAAACAAAAGTCACAGCAAACAGAGTATTATGCTGGATTTTAATATGGGTTTTTGGGCCATACACAAGCCCAAAGTTTAATGTGACTATCCAGCAGCCTATAGTTTTTTTCTACATGACAGAAACTCTAGTGGTTTAAAATGAAAGCAGCAGATCCAAACTCACAGTTGAGTGTGCACAAAGATATCTGAATCAGGACACAGGTTCTTTAGATGCAAGGTTCTTCTAACTAATACTTGCAACATTTCCACTGCAGAAGTAAGCAGGCAAGAAAAACAAATCTACTGAACTGTAAGCAGCAAACCAAATTTTATCGTGTTAACAAAGATGCTAATTATTCTAAAACAACTTGTGAGAATGCTTATTAAACGTATTAATCCTAATTAATAAAAACAATAGCAAAAAGCAAATAATTCTTATTACCTTGGCTGACGATCACATCTTTGTGTCTATGGAAAGAAATGCATAGTGTTACTAATATATGAAAGTATGAATCTGAAGGCATAGTTTATTTATCCTTAACTGGAATTCTTCAGAAAGGTTAGCATAATTTTCAGCTGATAGGGCTCATTGGATTTGCTGGTTGGAGATAACAACTATTGTTTTCCAACAGAGTTAAAAGGTGCTATAAACAGGGGAAGACTAATTAAAATACAGTGGCATTGATACAAATTATAGTGTTAAATAATTTACATGAAAGGTTATGAATAAATATGCATTTTTAAAAAAATTGATATGAATCTATTTTTAATAACTTCAGTGTTTTACATTTTATATTTTGAATAAGTAATTTGGCTTTATATGAAATATGAATAATGGAAAATTCTGTTTAAGTAATGTCACAGAACAATTGACTTCAAGGTACCTAGTCAAAGGAAAAATATGGTAAATAAGAATGCAGGTGTGTAGAACATGAATGAAACATAACACCTGGAGGTTTCCAGAACTACACCACCCAAAAAGCATGCAGGTTCATGACTTGCATATCAAAATGTTGGAAAGCGGGTGATAGTAAATGCAACTGTATGCAACATCCAACATTTCATAATTTTGTTCAATAAATGTGATCTTCCCCATCTTAATGCCCAAATCTTCTCTTGGTGCTTTTATTTACAAAAGATTTGAATGGTGGCAGTAATGAACTCAAGGAAGGGGGGAAATCAATTCCATCAGTGATAGTGATAGATACCATTGGTCTTCAAAATTATTTTTACAAAGCTTTATAGAGTAACAAATCAGGATGCCAACAAGAAATCTAGTACTTACTTATCTGCATTCTTGCCACTTTTGGGTATCAATTTTGATGCAGAAGTTGCTCTTATTAATTTATTACGACTGTCTTCTGAACTTTCCCATGTGCTTTGTGATTTTTCAACTGTTGACAATCTCTTCAAACTAGAAAGACAAGCACAGTGTATTTCTATATTTAGCAGTTGTTAAACCAAGAACTAAATGAGATATTGCAAGCAATTGTGCTGGAAACAAAACAGGTCAAGCAGCAGGAGATAAAAGAAAGTCAGGATAGGCCTTTCTCCAAGCAAATCCACAGGACCCTCAGAAAGAAGGATTAGATAGTGCTGTAACAGGATCTTGAAAGACAGTCAAAAGGGCAACATTTCTTAAAGCCTCTTAGCACAGTTCTCAAAGGCTGCTCTGAAACTGCTAAAAATAAAAATAAAAAATATCAATTTATCGGCATAGCATTATTATTCCCAAATCTAGAAACAATAACTTGACAACTTTCCCCATTTTAAATAAGGGGGAAAACCAGGTGAGATTTTTAAATAAAGGAGCTTATGAGCCCTGGTTGGACATGTACTCAAAACTCTTCTTCAGTCTTCTATTTTCCATCTGGTTCTGGTTGGTAGACTTAATGCTTTGATAAGATTATACAGAATAAATTATTGCTAACCAAAATAAAGTAAGCTATCACAATGAGTGACTGAAAATGAGAAACAGAATCTTTCCTTCCAAAATCACAGTTGCCACCTGGATTTCAAATAATAGCTACAGTACAGGCAGATCCCCAAATTGTACATCTATTCCATTTGGGGAAGTACAATTCAGAAGTAAGGAGAGAAAATGACCGAAGCTGGATGATCCACGAACCCATTATCAAACAGTCTTGTTAAGAGTTGAATTTAAGCTTGACTCTCCCCATTCAGACCTTAACAGCCTCTAGGCACTGGGACAAAATCTTGACATCATCTTGAGTGCAAGAGGTTGACATGTACAATTTACTATCATTTGTGTACATATACTTCTTGATCCCAGACAGACCGATGTTTCCAGTAGCTTTATTTAGAAGTTAAATAAAGGGTGAGAACATACAGGATGAGAGCATCAAGCTCAAGGCATCCTGCAAACTTGGGAATTTCAAGCTTGATGTCTTCCCTCACCAATACCAACTGGAAACAGCCATAGAGAAAGGAGGAAAATCATGCAACATCAAATCAGCCACTTCCAATCTCCTTAGCTGGGCCAGAAGGATATCATGATTGAAGGTACTGAAAGCTGCTGAGAGACAAGAGGGGGCAGGATGACCACCCAGTTATGAGTAAATGCTATTTGAATCCAATCCTCTTGTATGGGATCCTGAAACTTCAGTTCAATCACCATCTCAAGAATCTTCCTCCCCAAAAAGGAGATTGAGATTGGACAAATTTGGTCCAGGATTGTTGGGTCTAATGATGGCTTTTGAGAAGTATACTACATCCCATTCAAAGTGAACATTATTACTGTCTCATTCAAAAGAAATTTATCACTGTGTGGATCCTTCTTACAAGTCTTTACCAATCAGGACAATCTTGTATTTAATGAAGAAATGGCTAAAATCATAGAACTAAGAACCTTGTCCACTTCCTTGAGAAATACAGGATAAATCTGTTCCAGCTAAGCAAACAAAACTGTTACTCAGTCATCCTGTGGGGAACATTACAATATGTCACAGTTCCTGCAGTTGCCCAATTAACTGCCTTGCAATAAATTCTGTTAAGACAATTTTAAAGAGACAATTTGTGCAGCTGTAAGTTAATTTTCATAAGAGCTTCAAAAGCTAAAAGGGAAAAAAAGTAACAAAAGTTATGAAGTCAAATATGAGGGGGGAAAAGTGAGTGCGCACATTTTCCTTGCTCAGAAAGTCAAAAATTAACATGAGGATCCCAGGAACAGATACCTTGTACAGGAAGATACCAGAAAGAACAGACGAAACTCCATGTTAAAGCTAAGTTTGTGCAGATAACAGAGTTCATGACAAACTGTTAAACATGCATTGGTTAAGAGCTGCGTAAAACCTGATGATTTTGCTTACATGGAAAGCATCTGCTGTGCCCCCAAGCACTGTAAAAACTAAACAAGTATAGCTTCTCAGTGTATGGAAACCAACCCCCCCCCCCCCCCCCGCCAAACACACACAAAACCCAAGTGACATATGTAGAAATTCAGATCTAATCTCTGATTCAAACTGCTCTTGAAGAAGCAAAAGGCATATTTGCTCACATTTTTTGCTTAGCCTGCTACCTTTGTTCGGCAATCATCAGAGCTTAAGTGATTACTTAATGGAATATAATAGCTTTATTTAGGACAGAAGGGTCAGTTTAAAAAAAAGTTGTGTTTGAAACATGGCTTGCAGATCTAAGGATACAAGGTGTGTTTTCTATTTTATAAAAAAAGGAACATGAAACTCATGTTTCAACAATTTGAAGCAGCTTTAATCAATAGTATTTGATTCCTCCCCTTTTGCAACAATCTCTCTGTATGTTTGTGTCGAGCAATTATTAAAATATTCATAGCAAGTTAGTTGTAACTAGAGTTGCAATACAATATAGCAAAATTAATCATGAATATTTCTGCTTGATTATAGTGAAACTTAAGTTGAATAATATGTAATTAGTCCATACCTTGGGATAGGTAATCTTGTACCCTACAAAAATTGAGGCAGAAAAAATCTGCGATCCTTGATTAAAATGAGGACCCAGATTGTTGGGGGCAAAATGCTGATTCTGTAAACTGCTTAGAGATAAAAGCACTATGAAGTTGTATACAAGTCTAAGTGCTATTGTTATTGCTACTTTGGCTGTTTTATAATCTGAGGAATAACGAATTGCCCATTGTTTAGCTATTGTTCAAAAATATACTTTTAAAAATCATTTTGATTGTGAAGCTTCCTGGAAGCTGGAAACAAATGCCACCAATAGCAACTGAAATTCTAACACTATTTTACTGATGTACTTATTTACATTAAGAATTATATTTTAAAAATAGACAAAATTTGGATGACAATTTTTTTTAAAAAAATACCAGGTGCTAATATATTTGGGGAGGAAATGCACAACAAGATTTCAGCCCGATTCAGATATTTAAGAGGTGTTACTTCTCAGATCTCAGTGACAGACAGTATATGCTTTAGATTTTAGCTAAACATAATACTTAATGATCTTTAAAAGCCTCTTGACTAGAATCATACAGAACTATTGACTGCCATACACTGTTAGGACAGAATAATTTATTCTAATTTTTAAATTAAACCCAAATCAAATTTGGGATTATCCATCACTAATATGCAAAATAATTTGAAAATATGATTTATAACATGCCTAGAAGGTTGTATGTTCTGTTCTCTGTTTTTTAATGCAAAATCTAATCGTGAAACTCTATTTCAATCATTTCAGAAACAAGCCTCAAGCCTGCTATATTTGCTTCAAAGAGTTCAGAGTTTTTAGGGTGATTTAAAAAAAATATCAAAGATTCTGGAACCAGAATGCCTAGGAAATCTTGCTGACTTTCTCTACTTTATCCTAAATCAGAGAAGGTGTTACAGCTATTGCTTTATATGTGCATGTCACAACTCCCAAAGACCCATCAGATCCCACAGATTAGGGCTCCTCCGGATTCCATCTACCGGCCAATGTCGATTGGCAACCACCTGGAGGAGCCTTCTCTGTGGCTGCTCTGGCCCTTTGGAACGAACTCCCTTCGGAGATCCGGACCCTCACCTCCCTTCAGGCTTTACGTAAAGCC